GGGGGGGGGGGGGGGGGGGGGGGGGGGGGGGGGGGGGGGGGGGGGCATGAGGGTAAGAGTTGGGCAAGAGGAATGCTGGTGTTACATGAATATGTGTAAACCAATGATTTGCGACGATGCATATAGCTGCGTTGTGAGTGTACAGCACAGAATGGCGACCGGAGAGCTGGTGGACAATGGTCTGGGTCTGTGGGGGAAGGAAGTGTTAGGGTGCTCTGCTGATACCTGCTCCTTGCTGCTGTGTAACCTGCAGGTACCAGTGTCTACATCACACGAGCTCAGCTGATGAACTGCCACATCTGTGCGGGTACAAGGCATAAGGTTTTACTCCGGAGGCTACTGGCTGCATTTTTCGATCGGTGAGTAATGAGTTGGTTGTTGTTTGTTCCACCCAAATACTCGGCAATCTCTGTGACCTTTCACAGAAGTGTTTCTGTTGGCCTGCAGCAGGGCTGATAGCTTTGTCTTAGCTGAGGTGGTTTCATCTGATGACTGTACCCACACCTCCACCTTAGCATTAGGTCCATCCTCCAGAGATTGTTAGCACAGTCTGTGTTATCAGGTAGTTTTATATCAACTGTCAGTGTCACAAACCTTCCTCATCTCCCACTTTTTCTATACTGTGTGGGTTTTGTAACTGTTCAGGGTCTCATGGAATTCAGTTCTTTTGTCCATGTTTGAACCAAGGCTCTAAGGCTGTAATGTTTGAACCAAGGCTGTAATGAGGTCAGGAGCTGAGTGGTCCTGGCGGAACCCAAACTGGGCGTCACTGAGCAGGTTATTGCTGAGCAGATGCTGCTTGATAGCACTGTTACTGACAGCTTCCATCGCTTTACTGATGATCGAGAGGAGACTGATGGGGCGGTAATTGGCCGGGTTGGCTTTGTCCTGCTTTTTATGTACAGGATATAGCTGGGCAATTTTCCACATTGTAACTGTAACTGTACTGGAGCAGCTTGGCTAGGGGGAGCGGCAACTTCTAGAGCAGAAGTCTTCAGTACTATTGCCAGAATGTTGTCAGGGCCGTAGCCTTTACAGTATCCAGTGTCTCCAGCCGTTTCTTGATATCACGTGGAGTGAATCGAATTGGCTGAAGACCGGTATCTGTGATGCTGGGGACCACTGGAGGAGGCCGAGATGGATCATCCACTAGGCACTTCTGGCTGAAGATGGCTGCGAATGCTTCAGCCTTATCTTTTGCACTGATGTGCTGGGCCCTTCCATCATTGAGGATGGGGATATTTGTGGAGCCTCTTCCTCCAGTGAGTTGTTTAATTGTCCACCACCATTCGCAACTGGATGTGGCAGGACTGCAGAGCTTCAATCTGATCTGTTGGTTGTGGGATCGCTTAGCTCTGTCTATCACTTGCTGCTTTTGCTGTTTGGCGTGCAAGTAGTCCTGTTTGGTGGCTTCAGATCTCAGACTTCATCTTCAGATATGCCTGATGCTGCTCCTGGCATGCCCTCCTGCATTCTCCATTGAACTGGGTTGATCCCCCTGGTTTGAGGGTAATGGTTGAGTGGAGCATATGCCAGGCTGTGAGGTTGCAGGTTGAAAATTGTTTCTTTGCTTTTATTCATTCTTGAGATCTGGATCATTCTTTGCCTGTGAACTGAGCGACTTGCTCGGCCATCAGTGAACCATGTGTAGGCCTGGAGTCTCATTAGGTCATACTGACCAAGGACAGCAGATGTCCTTGCCAAAAATGCAGTTTATGACAATGACTGAAGGTGGCTTTCTATTGCAGCTTCATTTCACTAATTCAATTTGAGTTCCACCTCTGCAAATGTGGGATTTGATCTCCTGTCCCAGGTTAGTAATCTGGGCATTGCTGGTTCAAGAGTGTTGCCACTGCACTATCCTTCCTGAATTGTTACAGGCGCTAAACAGCAAGGTGAGCCGGGAATGGTGAGTAGAAACCATCGTATGGTTTGGTGGCAGTGTGGCTGTTGATTTTATGAAGTGTAATTCATTATTCATGTGGCCCCAACAGGAACACTCTGGCTAACAGCTGTGGCACTGGAATCCGTTCCTCCCTGTGTGATCCCAGTCGGAAACCTCTCGATAGCAGGATACTCAATGCCATTAAAGGTAAACAAGGAGGGCTGTGGGAGTTTGCGATAGAGAACCGTGGATGGGGGAAGGTGCAGTGAATGGGCCGGAGGGCGTTACGGTGGATTTGGGCCCAAGGCATTCAAAGGTGATGTCACAGATGGGCAGGACGAGGAGTTGGAAGGTGTGAGGCAGAGATCTCCAAGACTTGATTCACACTGAAATTAATTTGTGTTTGAAATTCCGCTGTCACTTCTGGTTCCCCCACTACCTGGTAGATTACACTGCAAACAAAACAGTGCAACAGGACAGGGGCTCCAGAAGCCCACTCTTGCAGTTTCACTGTGTTACAAGGTCCACCTTGTGTTGTTCCAGGAATGGGTTAGCTGCCCTGTGGAGGCGGCCCGTTCCTTAAAGCTGGATAGGAAACAGCCAGCAATCTTCGTCTCTCCTCAGTCAGTAGCTAGGACAGAATTTGAATCTAGCTGCAAAGAGAGACATGCTGCTGAGGTATTTCATCTTGAGCTCATTAGGACCTATGAAAGAATGCCAAAGTTCAAACCATGTCAACAATTTCTGTTGCAGGGGAAGATGGTGCTTACTGATTCTGATTGTCATTTTGGCTTTAACTGACCAAGGTGTTGACATGGAAAAAGAAAGGGCAAACTATAGGCTTCCCAAGCTCCCTCAAAGAAAAAGGAGCAAGACCTGAACATATTCCTTTTGATTGCAGAGAATGACTCCCTCTGTAGGAATGTCTGCCCCTTGTGGCAGATGTAAATGAGCTGCTTGGCTGATGGTCATCAATGAAGAGTTGGTGTATCTGGTGGCACACCCAGATGGAAACTTGTAGCAAAATGTCTCACAAGTACAGCTATTGGTTCTGCAGATGCCAGGCCCCTTTCACTGCTCATACAGGCCTCTTTCACTGCTCATACAGGCCTATTCAATAATACTGAGCAGCAGGGAGAGGAAGGAACACACAGGGTACACAGGCTCCTTGTTGGGGCTAGAGCTCATCAGAACACACCCTCATGCTCGTGAATCGAGGTCTGTGGCTACTTTGGGATATAGGAATGGATGGAGGCCATTCAGCCCCCCTGATCCTGTACCGCCATACAGTTAAATGGTGGCTGATCTGTACCTTGGCTCTCTGGATGAAGAGATATGCTGGGGACTCAGTGGTTAGCACGACCGCCTCACAGCGCCAGGGACCTGGGTTGAATTCCAGCCTCGGGTAACTTCTGTGTGGAGTTTGCACGTTCTCCCTGTGTCAGTGTGGGTCTTCTTGGGGTGGTCTGGTTTCCTCCCACAGTCCAAAGATGTGCAGCTTAGGGTGGATTGGCCATGCTAAATTGTCCATAGAGTCCAGGGAGGTGCAGGCTAGGCGGATTAGCCACGGGAAATGTGGGGTCATGGGGATAGTGTTGGGGTGGGGTGGGGGGAGGTGGTGAGGGTCGGGGGTGCAGGAGTTGGGCCTGGATGGGATGCTGTTCAGAGAGTTGGTGTTTACCAGATGGGCCAAATGGCCTGCCTCCACACTGTAGAGATTCTGTGATTCTGTTCCAAGATCTGATACTGACAGGGTCTGGTTATGCTCTTCCCCATAAGAGGAAGCATTCTGTCTCTCTTCACTCTCATCAAAACCTCTCCGCATTGGAAGGACCTTGATGAGATCACCCCTATGCCTTCTCAATGGAAGAGCCCAGTTTGTCTGCCCTTCACTGATGTGGAAACCGGCACATTGCTGCGATCATCCCTGTAAACCTCCTCAGTTGTAATCTGAATGTTCGCCGTGAAGGCACGGTGCACGCAGAGGGTCTGTAATAACTCTCAGAAAGGATTTGGTCAAGTACCTGAACAAGAGCAATTCAAAGGTCTGCAGGGCAAGAGCGAGCAAGTGGGACAAAGTGGGCAGGTCTTTCAAGAAGTCCGAACAGGCACACTGGGCTGAATGGCCTCCTCTTAAATGGTCTGATTCTACGGCCAGAGTCAGATGAGATGACTTCCACATGAAAGTTTAGGCTAGACTTTAGAAGGTTAAGGGGTGATCTGATCGAAGTCTACAAGATATTAACAAGAAAAGACAGAGTAGATAAACTATTTCCACCACTAGAAAATAGTCCAAGAATTAGGTTCATTTAGGAGAGACATTAGGAAGCACTTCTACGCACAAAGGCTGTTAGAGGTTTGGAACTCTTCCATTAACGGCAGTGAATGTTGGATTGTTAACTAAATCTGTGACAGATAAATATTTGTTAATAAAGATATTAAGGGATATGGGCCAGGGGCAGGTGACTAGTTAAGCCACTGATCAACCATGATCTCACTGGATAGTAGAACAGACTGAAGGGGCTGAATGGCCTACTCCTGTTCCTATCTTCCTTTATTCCTAGAGATCGCACGGTGTTCCCACTCACGTGGGCATTCCAGATCCGGTGGCACTGCTCGGAGAAGAGGGGCATAGTTCTGCTTACTCCCTCTGATGAGTGTTTGCCCTTGATCGATAGCGTTATCAGTGGATCGTGGGATCTTGCTGTGTGCAATTGAGTTGCTGCATTCCAATGGAAACCACACTTCAGGAATATCGAATTAAGTGCACAAATGTTTTAGGACACTCTGTGAGCTTGCGAATGCGGGTGAATGTCAGTCTCTCTCTCGCGCTCTCTCTCTCTCTCTCTTTTGCAGTTTATTGTCAGAACTTTGCCTCGAACTTCAAGGAGAGTGAGATGAATGCCATTGCCGCTGACATGTGCACCAACGCTCGCAGGGTAGTCCGCAAGCACTGGATCCCCAAGCTCAAGCTGATGCTCGCCGAGGGAGATGGCGTCTACCGCTCCGTCATCACCGACGCAGCTTCTGGAAATTTACCGGACGGTACGGCTGGGAACCAGGAGGTGGAGCTGCCGGGAACCGGGCAAAGGCACGAGGCCGCTGGGATGAGAGCTGCTGGCACTGGCCACAGATACGAGACAGGTTTCCCGGAGGGCCTGGAAGATGCCGGGAACAGTATCGTGGAGGCTCCGAACTAATGGCGCCCTGCCAGGCGTTCCCAGCGTAAGAGCCAAGCTCCGCAGGGGAGACAGACTGCCATGTGCGTGGCCTGATTAACTGGGGATGGTTGGTGTGAGCTGGTCAGCTGCTGTGTACTGGGCAGGGAGGAGGGCATCATTGAACCTTGCCCAGGCAATGAACCCTCTCGCTGCTGGGCACCGTAAACTGATTTGGTTCAATGGCAATTGGGGTGATGTGACCATGAGTGTAAATCGAGAGCGGAGAAGCAAAAAGGAAGACTTGCATTTATATAGCACCTTTCCCCTCAGGGCAGCCCAAAGTGCTTCACTGCTGACACAGCACTCTCGGAAGTGTGGCCACTGCGGGGAACGTGGCAGCTAATTTGCGCAGAGCAAGATCCCACGAAACACAGTGTGTGACGCTGACTGTTTGTTCTGCTGTAGTGGCGTTGACTGAGGGATAGGTGTGAGCCTGAGCCCTGCAGAGAGCTCCCCTGCTTTTCAGGTACTGTTCACCTGACAGGGCACCCTGGACCCTGTTTCAGTGTTTAATCTGAAAGCTGCACCTCTGACAATGCAACACTCCCTCAGTGTGGTTCCCATTTAGATAGTGGGACTTGAATTTCTCACACACACATGACTAGCACATTATTAGGCCCGATAGTGCTTCAGTGGACAGGGAGATACTTTGCCACTGAGTTCCGCTCAAAAAAGTCAAGTCCAGAGAGAAAACCCAGATGGAGATTTCTAAAAAGTAATATTTATTCTCTGGGGTGTGGTTAGTTTCTTTTGCATTTGCTGTAACTGTTCCCTAAGCCGAGTGATTTGCTTGACTATTTGAATTGAGAGCCTGCCACATTTGCTTTAGGTCTGGAGTCTCGTGTGGTCCCAACTGGGTAAGGACGGCAGATTTCCTTCCCTAAAGGACCAGAAGTGATCCCGATGGGTCCGTGAGCAATCGATGCTCGTCGCCATGGTCACCGTTACTGAGAGAGGCTTCCAAATTCCCCATGGGTTCCTGACGTCACCAGTTGCTAAGATTTTGAGCCCATTTTCCCAGAACATTCACCTGGGCCTCTGGATTCCTTGTCCAGTGACTGCGCCAGCAACAGTTCAAGCGGCGTGTTGACTGGGCAAAGTTTCATAAGGGAGTCAGTCAACTCCTTGCTCAAACTGCTTGATGGATTGCACGTTTTGTCTCATTACTTTGTATTAGTTGCTACACTGTTTGGCACCCGAAGCTCAGCTCTCCACAGTAAATTACATGCACCATTGAATTCGCAAAGTGCAGTTCCAAATAATCGGTCACTTAACAAAGGTGTGAGTGACTCGCGTGCCATACCCCCTGCCTTTCCCCAGCACACTGTCCTGGTTAGCAGACCTGTATATAACATCGTTACTTTACAAATCCAGGCCATTCAGCCCAACAGTGTTTACGATCCACATTAACCTCCCCTCATTGTTCTTCTGCTAATTCCATCAGTGTATCATTCCACTCCCGTCTCGGGTTTATCCAAATTTCTCCTTTAGATACGTTGTACTGTTTACCATGGGAATGAGTTCCCCTGCTCACTGCACTCTTTGCAAAGAAACTGATTATTCGATACACCCGTGGGTGTCTCCTGTTTGCAGCCCCTAAGTTGGAAGTAAACACTTGTTGGGGTTTTTATTTATACGTGCTCTTGTTTAAGTCTCCCAAAGCAGGAGTTACTTTGGGGATGTGATGGCCACAAGACATTGGAACAGCACTCCACTTTTGGGGAGAGCTGGGTGTTGGTTAGCTCAGTTGGTTGGAAGGCTGGTTTGCGATGCCAGGTGACTCCAACAGTATGGGTTGGATTCCTGCACTGGCTGAGGTTACAATGAAGGTCCCACCTTCTCAAACTCGCCCCTCAGCTGAGGCATGGTGAGCCTCAGGTTAAACCACCACCAGCCGTGTCTCTCTCTCTCTCTCTCTCTCTCTCTCTCTGAGAGAGCTGCTGTGTTGTTCTCTGGAACTTTGGCAACTTTAGCTTTGCAGAGGTTGGAACTGTGTTTGCGACTCTCAAAAATCATGAACGAGTCCAGCGTAGTACTGAGACTACACTGCTGATGTAGCATTAAACTAAGGCCATTTCTGGCTCTTTAATTGACTGATAATAGCAGGTAGTTTGGAAACTAGGCGGATTTGCCTTTGGAGGAGGAGTGGAGGTGTTCACACAGTCAGAGTGAAAGGGTAATTCACGGTATTGCTGTTTGTGGCATCTTGCTGACACAGAGTGGCCCCCATTTTCACCTACAGAATGGCGATGAGCCAATAAAAAGAACGTTGTTGTACTTTAGAGATGTATAAATGCAAGTCTCTGACATACCAGTTGGGAATGCCTTCTGAAATGAGCTTACCATAGTGTTCTCTACTATAAACAGGTCCCGCGTTTGCCCAGTTTCCCACCACCTTCTCGGCTCTGACCACCTTTCTGGGTCTGGCCCTTCCCTTCCTGTCTGAAATACTAACGACTAAATATGTTGCTTCCAAAGCGTCTGTAACCTGACCTGGCACAGTGGGTACTCCAGATGAAACAGGGGCAGGGGAAGAACACTGAATGTTTGGTGGCAGAGGTGGGAAGAATGTGCATTTGGCATTTGCTTGATGGAACGCATTGGCGTCAGTCACTGAAGGCAGCAGGCCTCAGGTTCATTGCATTCCTTTGGGTTGGCACAGCCTCAAGTAACATCAGAGGTACCAGTGGGCACTGGGGTACCCCCCATCGTCATTCGGGAACCTGTTTGGGTATGGAATTTGACAGTGTTGGCCTTGGAGCAGGAAACTTGGAGTATCGCAAATTGGAATGGCTTTTGCTCTCTGTTTCCATGGATGGGCAGTCAGTAGTGATAACGTGTTTGGCAATTAGGAATGTAAATTGTGCTTTAAACCCTGACTTCTGAAGAACGTAAACAGTTTTGGGCTTTGGTGTTTGCAAGACTCTTCACATTCCCTTTGACTGTGGAACATTTGGCCGTAGGGACATGAGTGGGCCCATTCTTTTATAGCAGGTCACTCTGATGGACCATTTCAATCTCGGGCCACTTTACACGACGGGATGCCAGCCCATGCTCTGTAATGAAATGACCCACTAATTGTTAGTGTGACGTTGTAGCTCCTATCGGTGCATGTGTCATTTTAAAGCTGTAACATGTGTAAGTGTACATGTAGCTCCATGCTTCTTGTTTCCATTAGCCTTTCAGTGGTGTCTCCCTGCAGAGAGAGAGAGTTTCATATCGTGGCAGGCAGCCACTGCAAAGTCATAACATCGAGGAGCTTCCAGGATCTTAATTTTGCTTGACACCTGCCATCACCAACCAAAACATGACCTAGAACTTGTTGGTAGCTTTGATCCGATCTATATGTTGCCCAGGTGCTGTGTGCTTGGCCTGAGGTAATGGTCAGCCTGCCTTCCTGCTGTTTGTGCCATAGCTGGAGACGGTGGGCCAGAGCTGGGTTAACCAGTCCCTTCAGGGGACGTCCTCAGTTACCCTCACTTTGTGACATGCCGGACACAAGAGCATATTCAAGCAACAAAGAACATTCATGCGGTACTGGAGGCTCATATGGTCTGGGAGTGAGGAAGTCTTTTATATAGAGCCTTGGTGAGCCCCACAGCTGGATAAGCATGTTCAGTTTTGGTCTCCTTGCATAAGGAAGGATATTCCCTCGTAACAGTGGGAACAACTGAAGTTGGTCGGTGTAGATCCTGAGTTGAAAGAGCTTTCCAAAGAGGCGATCATATACAATGGGCCCGTATTTTGCAGCATTTAGAAGCGTGTCAGCAGATCTGCTAGAAACATCCAGGGTGAGGTAGATGGGAGAGTTCTGTTTCTCCAGCCAGGCCAGATCAGAAACAGGGATCGGAGTCTCGGAAACGGTAACAGCCAGGTGGGATTAGTTTGGGAACGTGGTCAGCATGGACTCGTTGGACTGAAGGATCTGTTTCTGTGCTGTATGATTCTATTAAATATTCATGACTGTATGAGGTGGAATATCTTCATGTGGAAACTTTGGAAAGCTGTACCCCAGAGAGGGCTGTGAAAGCGCAATTATTGTGTACATTCAAGATTTCTGCACACGGAAGGAATCTGAGGGACGGGAAGGAAACGTGGAGTTGAAGTTAAGGACTAGCCATGATGCTTCTGGAGGGCAGAGCAGGCTGGAGCATGTTTACTCTGCTTTTATTACTTAGAATGGGTTGGTTCAGTGAGGAGAGCAGATTTTCTCCCTAATTCAACATCAAGGAGCCATTTCTTTCTGTGACAGGTTTTTCACTGATTATGCATTTGTCTTCAAATGTTTTAAAAATTCCAGTTTTCAAACTGCATTGGTTTCTAACAGGCTAACAGTTCAGTAAAAGAATACAACTGTCATTACCACATTTGAACACTACACAATTAGTTAGAGATGAGTTTAAGCAGATATATTGTTGATTAATAAAATAATTAAATGCTCACTGCACTGATGTTACCTACAGCGTGGTTTCCTGTAGATAAAACATCTGTGTCTGTCTGCAGTGGTGTCTTTGTTGTAATTTTGGAGTCAATTTGCACACAGCCAGTTCCCTTGACAGACAGCATTGTAATAATATTACAGATTTATCGATTGAAAGATCTTGTTCTTCAAGATATTTGACCTGAATGAGCTGTTGTGACCTTGGTTTAATGTCTCAGCCAAAAGGTAGTGTGGTATTCTCTCAGTACTGCACTACACTTGCAGCCTGGGTGATGTGCTGATGTTTCCATTGTCATTGTGAGCTGAGAGCGCTCACGACTGCATCAGATCTGTCATAACTCTGGACCCAGGAGTTGACATTTAGAAGTTTAAGTGCTAATAAATCTTTTACCGTGAGAACCATTTGCAGTCTGGCCTACAATCACTTGGTTGCATTATGAAAATAGATCATTACCTGATCTGGCATCATTCAATTAAATGCTGTGATCAGTGATTGTATGCTAACTATACTTGGTAATCTGTGCCTGAAATTGTATGCTTAATTACTAGCTTCAAGTTACCAGAGTGAGACTGCTGAAGAGATGCAAGTAATTTGGGTGAAGAACCTGCATTTATTTCACAACTCAGGAATGCCCAAACTCGATAAAAGTTTTGGAAATAAAATTCAAATACGGGAGATACTCTGTCTCCTATGAGAGCAATAATGGAGAGAGACATACCAGAGTTAACAGTTCTGTTTCTGTTGAAAGGTCAAACCTAAGTGCTATCTCTGTTGGAGGAATTCTAGCAGCCAGTTTACACTCTAAGTTTGCATAAGCAACAAGGATAGTTACCCCATCAAGTGATTTTTAAGTGGTGGTTGGAAGATGATACGAACCAGGACACAGGAGAATTATCCTGCTTTTCAGATCCTGCTAACAGATGTTTAATGAGAGGAGGAATTCCGTTTCATCCGAAAGACAGAAAATCTAGCTGCCCTAAGGAGAAGGGCTTAGAAACTGCAGTGTGTTGATTGTGTCTTCAAATAGCTATGATTGTATCTGGCGTGAATAAATTACTCTATCTCTACCATAACGTAAAATCCATTAGTATCCCAATGTTGCCATCCCCTAAGTATTACAAAGGCTGATTGCTGCATGTACCAGAGATTCCAGATCAAAATCATGGCCAGACACTGAAATTCAAACTGAACATGAATGCTGCGTTTGGTGATACTGCAGAACATGTGTGTTAGCTCCTGTCAATATGGGAATGTGTATTAATAGATTTGGCTGTGAAGAGGGAGGTGCTTAGGGATGGACTAGGCAAAGGGAGGAATGACATTGGGTGGGTGTGGAGGGGAGATGGCCCCAGTCCCGTTGGATTACTGTTCCACTGCCAACCAAAATCAATACCTTGGCATAACTGTGACTGCTATGTTTAATCCTCATATCAATTCTTTCCAATGCCAGAAAAACAACTATTGTTGATGTGCCTGCACCAGTTCAATTATCTAGTGCTAATCTCCTGCCCTTTCCCCATATCTCTACACACCATTACTATCCAAATAATCATGGAATGCCCCTCTCGAATGCATCAATTGAACCTGACTCCACCACATTTCCAGATTTTATTTTTCATTCATTTATGGGATGTGCGGGTTACTGGCTATTTCCCATTCCTAGTTTCCCTTGAGAAGGTGGTGGTGAGCTGCCTTCTTAAACCACTGCAGTCCACATGCTGTAGGTTGACTCAATGCCATTAAGGATGGAATTCCAGGATATTGATCCAGTGACAGTGAAGGAATGGCAATATATTTCCAAGTCAGGATGGTGAGTGGCTAGGAGGGGAACTTTTAGGGGGTGGTGTTCTCATGTATCTCCTACCCTTGTCCTTCTAGACGGAGGTGGTCGTGAGCTTGGAAGGTGCTGTCTGAGGATCTTTGATGAATTTCTGCAGCGCATCTTGTAAATAGTACACACTGTTGCTACTGAGCGTCGGTGGTAGGAGTGGATGTGATGTCAGTGAAGCAGACTGCTTTGTCCTGGATGGTGTCAATCTTCCCGAGTGTTGTTGGAGCTGCACCCATCCAGGCAAGTGGAGAGTATTCCATCACACTCCTGATCTGTGCCTTGTAGATGGTGGGCAGGCTTTGAGGAGTCAGGAGGTGAGTTGCTCACTGCAGTATCCTTAGCCTCTGACCTGCTCTTGTAGCTACTGTGTTTACATGGCGAGTCCAGTTCAGTTTCTGGCCAACGGTAACCCCCAGGATGTTGATAGTAAAATTCAATGATAGTAACACCATCGCATGTCAAGGGGCAGTGGTTAGGTTGTCTCTTATTGGTGATGGTCATTGCCTGATGTTTGTGTGGCACAAATGTTACTTGCCACAAGTCAGCCCAAGCCTGGATATTGTTCAGACCTTGCTGCATTTGCATTTGCAGGTAGTGAAATCCAGACCCTAACAATGTGCTGAGTGAAAACATTTTTCTCACATCACCCTTGCTTTTCAGATTAAAGTGATGCATAAAAACACACCACTTTGCAAATATACATAACCCAACATCAATGGCAGTTAAGAATAATCTTGGTGTAAAATAATCCAGAAATTCTTAATTCCAATGGAATGTACATTAAATAAAAGCAGCAAGGAGATCTTACAACTAACTTTACTTTCTAACGGGAAAGATCGTATAACAGAGAAGGTTATGGTGGCTCAGGTCACTGTATTCTGCTAGATGTTCTCAATTGATTGGCCTTTATGCGCAATGTGAGCTAGATCTCTACAATCCTTTATGTTTCAAAGTGTCCACTTGTCCTGGAACGTCCCCATCAGACAAAACACGTTCTTTACAGCATCACAACTCTGCTAATCACAAGGTCAGAAATCAGATGACACTAGATTATAGTCCAACAGGTTTATTTGATATCACAAGCTTTTGGAGCGTTGCCCCTTCGTGAGATGAAGCGAGCGAGAAGCAAACAGACACAGCATTTAGAGGCAAAGAGAGATAAATCAGCAGAGAGGTCAAACGGTCATACAAATGGTGTGAGTGGAGTATTGTCAGGCCAAATAATAGGTCTCTGCAGGTGATCGAGAATGTCAGATGGTGTGAGTAAAGTGTCAACAGCTGAATAGACAGTGAAGGAATGACCTATAGTCTGATTAAATGAGGCAGAGAGATAATGACAAAAAAATTAAAAATAAGGAGACAAACCAAATGACTAGAATACCGATAGGTACAAGAGCTGTATGCTGAGGGTCTAACCAAAGTAATGAGTAACCCCAAACTGTACAAACTAATTAAGGTAGAGAGATCATAATGATTTATTAAGGTGATAGTGCCAAAACAGAACAGTAAGGAAGAATTTACAGATACAGAACAGTGTGGTGGGGTCATGTAATGCGATAGCATATTGTGATGGCTATATATCCATGACAAGATAATTCAGGGATTGTTGTATGTCTGATGAAGATAGACTGCAGGAATTCCTGGACATCTGATGTAGGAACAGTAAGTGACAGTTGAAGGACAGTACGGGGATTGTTGTACATGTGATGAAGGTCAGAGCGGCGAGGTTATATTTGATCTCTGCCTCCATATTACGTTAGGCAAGAGGGAAAGAGTGAGACAAACGAATCTGGATCCATGATGAAATAGGTACAGTGTACTTAGTACAAGTGGATATTGCACAGGTACACATCCCACCACATCCTCTTGTCAATATTCATCTTAGACATCAGGAACAAGAGGGAGGAAACTTAAAAGTAGCACAAAATAACAAGAGGAGAGACAAAGAGAATTTTTTTTTATGCAGCAGGTTGTTAGATTGTGGGTGACCAATTGTTAGGAGGACAAATCAGAATCACAAAGTGTAGATTTTGTTTTTACTTTAATTTTTTTTAAGAAAGAGGATTTCCACAGGAAAAAAAGATAACTCCAAATTCAGTGACTGGCAAAATCCAGTGAGAAGCCGATGGAATGTCATGCCTCTAAAGTGTCAGGGAAACTTCAAACAGGGAGGCTTCACGGGAAGGGATTTTGAGGGGGTTTGGCTACACTCCTGTAAGTGGATATCCACCTCTTGTACACCCTCCAGGAATATGCAATAGAGAGGGGTTTTACATTAACTGCAAAACTGGTCGGTCTGTGTTATTGACCAAACATCCTAGTGTATGGATTAGAGTACTGCAAGGGCATTGAGAACAGCCATTTTAAACATCCTTGCACTGCAGGTAAAACACAGGGAATGATTCTTCATCTTACTCTGAATGTTGGACTTTAATCACTGTCCAAACAAATCAGAACAAAAGAATTTCCCCAAAAACCACAAACACAAAAATCAGCATCACAGGTAGACAGGGTGGGGAAGAAAGTGTTTTTGGCAAGCTTGGGGCTTGGATAGGGTGAATAGCCAAGGCCTTTTCCCTAGGGTAGAGGAGTCCAAAACTAAAGGGCATAGGTTTAAGGTGAGAGGGGAAAGATTTAAAAAGGGACCTGAGGGGCAACTTTTTCACACAGAGTGTGGTGCATGTACGGAATGAGCTGCCAGAGGAAGTGTTAGAGGCAGATACATTTACAATATGTTAAAGTCATTGGCACAGGTACATGAAGAAGAAAGATTTAGAGGGATGTGGGCCAAATGCTGGCATATGGGACTGGATTAGTTTGGGAAACCTGGTCAGCATGGACAAGTTAGACTGAAGGGTCTGATTCCATGCTGTATGACCCTATGACTGCTCCACTGTTGAAATCAGAACTAGCAGTGTGACCTAATAACATCTATAATTTCATCTTTCTGCTTTTTATGCACAAGTTAGTGACTGGTCCATTTATCTTTTTACTTTTCTTTAGGATGTTCCTTGTATTCCTACTCTGTTACTAATTCTTCTCACGTTTAGTCTCAATCTTTCCATTAATTCAACAAGGCCTGGTTTCTTTTTAAACATAAGCTTGTTTGAATTGGGGCAGAGAGATATCCACAAGGGAAAGGATCCATTATAAATTAACCTTGTTGTGAACAGCCAAGGAGTCACAGCAACTACCCAACAGGAGCCAGTTTATTCCTCCTCAAAAATTTAAGGTATCCGCTTTAAAACGTAAGAAATCAAGGAATCTTGCCTGCTTGTAACAACTCAGGTGCTTGTTGTGATTTGAACCCACAGACAAAACAAAAGCTGTAGAGTGGGTCATTTTTCACTTTGAAACTAATTTTTAGAAGTTAAAATCTACAAAAGGTTCCCTTGCATTTGCGCTGCAGTCTGGAAATATTTGCACTTGGTCCCAATGCATTCTTAGCAGAATTAAGGGAAGTTATTTTTTGGGATTTTAAAGTGCTGTGCCTTCAAACAGTCAAACATTTAGTGAGGTGCTTGGGATTAAAACTTTTCCCGAAAACCAGAAAACTTGACATTTTCA